GACTCTTAAGAATGCACCAATAAACAAAAATGGGTTAAAGAAATATGAAGGGGTCTATCTTACACCTTCTATAACAAGGATATGTGAAATTAAAGCAAAAATATTAGGGGTGGTGCTATCCTGAACTGAGGGTAATGCTTAATGTATTAAAAAGGTACAATAGAAAATTAAGGGAAATGTTATGATTTGGAGTATTCACTCCACATTTGCCTTGAGTTTGCAATAGTCTTGTAATTCCCTAACTTCAGTGTAGTTACTTCTGGGGGCTCACTAGTTAAGCAGATAAGTATCAAGCTTTGGATTTAAGCATAGCCTGCTTAATATAGGCATCTCTTGGTTTTGTTTTGTTGGGTTTTTTTAATTATCTAGTGTATTATGTTTATTTAGCATATAAAATAACTTTCTATATAATACAAGAATATTAACATGACTGTAATTGTAATCCTAAATTGTTTAAAATACAGTGTATGCTAATAGTAGTAGTGCCTTTTGAGTGTATAGATCAGTATTTGTATAGCTGCTACCACATGTGGATGACAACAACCTCATAATTTTGTCGTAATTTAACTGCAAAATAAATGACCAATACAAAGTAATCTGCTAATTTACAAAAAATATTGACCTGAAGGCCATAAAATGCCACATTTCAACAGTCATAAAAGCAAGTTAGAAGCAGAATTTCCATTCAAATCCATCTGGTGGACGCCAATGCCCCATGTTTTGCTCATCCTAAGTGAGCAACCCATTAACATCAGCAGCCAGATCTAAGCATATAAGGACAAGTGAACATGTGTTATACATCCTGTCCTTCATCTGTTGGACTTTATATACTGAAAAACAAACTATATATATACTGTAATCCTAATTTTTTTTTACTATACTGTAATCCTAAAATGTTTAAAGTACAGTGTATGCTAATAGCAGTAGTGCCTTTTGAGTGTACAGATCAGTGTTTGTGTAGCTGTTACCATCCGTGTGATAATACATACACACACACACACACACACACACACATACACACACACACGTGTATATATATACCTGCGTGTGTGTGTGTGTATAATAACGTGTGTGTGTATATACAAACATACACACACATATATGTATTATCACACAGATGGTAACAGCTACACAAACACTGATCTGTACACTCAAAAGGCACTACTGCTATTAGCATACACTGTACTTTAAACATTTTAGGATTACAGTTACAATATGGTCTACAGTTACTGTATATATAGTTTGTTTTTCAGCATATAAAGTCCATGTGAATAGAATTTGCTTTTAAGAAATATTATATTATATTATATTAAAAGCAAAATAAAGAGTTCTGTTCATTTGAAAGATGACTTTGAATCCACAGTTATGTTCCAGATTTAATAAAACGTTCTTTAAATTCATGTTTTTAAAAAGGATGTCTGAAAGATTTTATCAGTCTCCTTTTCTCACTTGTGAAGAAAGAAAATCCCATGTTGATCTCAAGATTACGGTTATTGTGATTATATGTAGATTGTATATTATCTGATAAATAAAAATATATGTTAATACTATTCTAAGTCAACATAGTAAAACAGGTTGCCCAAATATAAAATATTCACCAGTTCCTACTGTTCTCTTTACTTAATCAGTATATGAAGTACATTACAATTCAGTTTATGAGGTTGGTTCTCTTTTATGTTCATAGTGCATTTGACCAGCGTTGGCGTTTTTCTTTTGTTTACCAATAATATGTTGTAACAGTAAAAATTACTTGTGACAAGATCTGACTGCAGTTCTACCAGATTTCCAGTAGATGCCCCCAGAGACCATTAAACCTATTAAAAAAATGTTAATAGAATGCAAAGCTAATCTTTTCCACTTTGCATGTGTTAATAGGAAGCCTAGAATTAGGGTGGCCAGAATATAGACAGTTATATGTACAGTTTACTAATATCATTTTACTGTGCAGTAAGATTCTCACTAAAGTCAGCATAAGATCATGTATTAAAATAACAGAATCATCAAGCAGAAGTTCAAAAGTGTCCCCCCCACCCCCCAGTTAAATTCTGAACAATAAATGTTATATCAAATTGTATTAGGAATTAAATAATGCTCACTAATTTAGAACATGTTTAGTTCAGTTTCATCCTATGCCATCCATAACATAAGGAAATACCTTTTTGGTAATAATTTTGATGAGGACTTTGAGTTAACTTCAAATGTTGAGTTCCTTTCAAAATGTAATCAGATGTTTACTTTCCTGGCCTTCACTTCTTCCACATTAAAAAATGAAACACTTTCCTCTAATGCTGGGAAAAAGAATCCTGGCATTTTCAACAGGAATCATGCTGATAATTGAAGCAATTTCAATAGTAAGTGTCAAATTATCTCTTACTAATGTAATTTATCCCCATAATATGAATATAAAGCCATTGTAATGCATGCATGATAAGTCACTTGTGGCATATAAATATATTCCAGTAATTTAAAGGAGCAAAAGTATTGTACTACTCCTTTTAGTGTTCTCTATCTTAAGTGTAACTTAATCTTTACCTACTCCTTTCTGAAGAGCTCCTTCATGCCTGTAAAGAGCTTTCTTAGTCTAATTGGGATCTGCAGCCTAGAAACTCCCTCCTGAAGTTGGGCACCTACATCTGCTTTCTTTCAAAGAGCTACCATTGTTCTTTTTATTATATTGTAATTCAAATATGTTATGGTAGACAGGCTTGCTGCTGATACAGTTATACAATTATCTTCCCCTGAGAAGAACTGTGTTAACTACAAGTTGGTCACTCCTGCCTTAAGCTAATAGAGTAGTTTCCTTAGTTAATTGACATAGTCATTTCGTAGAAGTTAGTGACACAAATTGTAGTTATAACACTGATTTCTTTCTGCATGTAAATTTATTATTTTGTAAATGATACAGTACATTTGGAAAAATACGCTTTGACCAGGAGTAAAATATATTTATCCGAAGAGATTAGCACAAGTGGCTGGTGCAATTTTATGCTTCTCTATAAATACTGATATTGTATTCAAATGTGTCCTCTGAAACCTAAAAAATGAGCTGAATAATGCTTTAATTAGTCACTGATACACTTTGTGTATTATTTGCTAGCTATTTCTTTTAGCTATACTTGTAAATAATTGTCAGTATTCATCTCACATACATGCATGCCATGCATATCATGTACACGTATTAAGCTTTCACTGAATTCAGTTATATTAATTTAGGTTTGTCTTATTCCTATTGAAATTAGTGAGATTTTTTTAATTTACTCTTAAGCCCCTGTCTGAGTGAGATAGTAGCTGAAAACAAACAAAATGACTTCCATAAATACAACAAAAAGCATGTTTTCTCTCAGGAGCATGATATTTTTCAGGAATTTGGAGTTGTAGATTGTGAATCATTTGCCTACTATATGATCCAGTTTGGGAAAATTACAGCACAGTCTGGTAAATTTGAAATTGCTGTGGTGGTTTCAATTTTTAAAACTATTCCTCATTTCTTTTCCCACAAAAATGTTACCTGTTTGCAAGAGCAGAATGGTTACGTTCTCTCCTGTACATGGATGCATGTACCTGCCTGTATGTATACTTAGCACTAAAAATACTGAATATGTTTAAAATAACTCCAGTATTGTTTACAGCCAAATAACTTTTTATAGTATCTTGAATTGTATCATTTTGTGTTCATTTCTGCCATCAAAACAGAAATGAATCTGATGCATTTGCATCAGTGAAAAAATAGTTATCTTGATTAAGGGTTTAAAACAGCACAGATCATTACCACTTAAAACTTATATTAAAATTCAGCCATTCCACTGACACCTAGTTAAAAGGGGTTTATATAATTTTTATTCATATAGAACTGGAAAAGAACTGCAGTATACTTTCCCAGGCTAGATTTATTATTCTGTGTATTAAACTGTTTAGCATGGCAGTCATCCAGATTTGCTAAATGTAGTACAGTAAATAGTCTCTGTTCTCTGTATTCTGTCATTCTTTTTTAAGGTCTGATAATTTAGTAGTAAATAAATGTTAGAAAAAAATATGAACCTGTTTGGAAGCCTAAATGACACAATACAAAATAAAATTAAGACATTTAGATATATCATTTCAGTAATTTTTTTTCTCATACTCGGCACCCTGTGCTACAAACCTTTGGCTCTAGAACAAGTCCTTAGTGATGCAAGCAGTGCCATGGGGCTTATGGGTTTTCAGAATGAGAGTTTAGGATTGTTTCATGCCAGCTGAAAGAAATAGTTGGATTACTTCCATAAATAAGGCCTCCAAAAGTGTATTACCTTTTGAAAATATTTAATTAAGCATTTCTTTTGAATATGTATATCTTACCCATGTTTATCAGTTGAATAACTTTGATATAAATTCATCATTGTATCTCTGTGGACATGTCATTTGCTTTTAAAATCAGGGTGAAATTATCAAACTTCTGTTGCAGTAAACTAGTCCCAGCTGAAGTCAGATATGAATAGAGGCAAAGTAATATGTAATTATTGTGTGTCTGACACAGTATTTGTTAGACATTTTAAACCAAACTACCTTAACCTCCAGCAAAACTATTTACCATATACATTGTTTTGTCATGCAGAATGTGCTTCTTTTTCCCCTGCACAGTGCTTTTAAGTAAACTGTCTGTTGTGTTTCAATGAATGAATGCCAGCATCCTGGCTTTTTCCCTATCTTGATTAACTCAATTGACCTTCCTGCCTGATCTCAGTTGACGAACACTAATATAATTATAACACTGTTCCAATAAAGAGGAAGCAGTCCCCGTGTAGCTTCATTTGCTTGTCTGCTATAGAAACTAGTTGAAAAATGTTCTGTAAAATTAAGTGCTAAAAATAATATATCAGCCCCCCCTCCCCACCCTACCCCTTTTTTTTTTGTTGGTTTCAGAAGTGTCTTCTTGAAAACCATTGTAGTATCTCTACTTACTTGGGAGGGTGAAGAACACAATACAGATTTAAAGGATTAAAATCAGGCTTTCTTATTCCCAGTTACAGGAATTCATACAAGAAAAACATCTGCATAGACATGCTGCGACAGGGTTATCACAAGTCCTTCTCGGAGCTCTTCACTCTGATACAGAAGTGGAATGCCTTGAGGGAGGCTGCAGGGCCTGGGTCAGCCATATGGCAGCAAAAGTCCCTGGAGGAGCAGCCTGATAAGCTGGATCAGCTTCACCACTTCCTGACCAGGGCTGAGGCAGCCCAACGAGCAGGTAAATGGGGGAATTGTGGGTAGCATAGCAGCAGGAGCTGCAGCACTGAGTGCCTGAGGGAAGATTTCAAATTGTTTCATGTATGAATTTGAAACATTACTGCTTCTTAGCACATTTCAGCCTTAGTCAACTAAGCTGTATTTATAGAATAAATGATAGGGATTGCAGTGCTACAGATATAGTGAGAGGTTCTGTGAAATAGAATGGGAAAGAAAATCTAAAGCGTGTCATGATGTAACTAGAAACCTTGTGATATATTTCTAGTCTTGAGAACATCTCAATTATAATCTCATTCATAATTTCCTTATTTCATTTTTTCCCCCCTAAAAAGTTGTGTTCGTACTTTCTAAAATATTGTTTCGTGCAATTGCCTTGCTATAATACTGATTTCATAACGTGGGTTCTGCTAAATATGATTGAATTTAGAAGTTTACATTAAAATTGGTTGGTGAACATGTCAGGTAAAACATGATACATAGATATAATATGTCACTTGTGAAGACATAACTCTGAATTACTGTATGATATTTTCTCTACTTCCTAAAATGAATTTACTAAGGTATTCTATTTATTATGCCCTTTTACCATAAACAGTAAATCATGAAATAAATTGTTGTTGTTAGGGTAGAAAACCTAAGGCAAGTTCCTAAGGTTTTGAACTGCAACTTGTTTCAGATTTAGATATAATAAACTTTTTATTTTAAGCAAGAAGCAGTCAAAAATGTTTATAAATATCATTGTTCTCCTGTAATTCAAATGTTTTTTCTTTTTAAGTTGAAAATTATTGACCACTATATTTATATTGAATTAATTGTAATTCTAGCTGAGAAACCCTGCTCCAGACCAAGAAAAGAAAGAGTTAATGAACTGTCCTGCCACGGAACTAAATCCTGGAGGAATGACCCTCTTGTTTGTAGGAATAAAAGAAATAGCTTTTGTACCTGGCCTGTACCTATGACTGAGGGCTTCACCATATTATCTGAAGGTGTACTTCAAGTTTTGCTTCTTATTCAGTTTCCATGCGCACCAAGCAGACCTTTTAGGTGGTGTTTTTAGCTTGAGTTAACTGACGTTGGGCATGGGATGAAACTCAAGTGTTGCAGACACTGAAACTAGTTAGCTACAGATAATTCAGTCATTTTGCTAATACAATTACTCTGTGCTGGTACATCTGAAGACAGGACGCCATCACAAAGATTTAGAAGAAGGTACTAACTTATTTTTTCTCTTAGCAATGTAAAGAATTTTTTTTGGTCAAATAAGTTAGAGTTTGCTGACATCACAAAAATGTCTTCAGTAATATGCATGAAGAAAGAATAGGTATATGGCACATTGATACTTGGGAGATCATTTCTCTTTTTCATAGCTCAGACCTGAAGAATTATGAAGCTTTTAGTTTTGAAAATAGTTTGAGATCTTACAGTAATAAGCTTTCCTATGAGATTTCAGGCCTGTGCCTTAAGCTGTGATAGAAATATTGCAATAACCAAGTTGCTTACAGTATTTTGGATGAAATCAGATTGTGCACCAAAAGCAAAAGCTCTGCTGATGTCAATCTCCAGAATGTAAGACTTGACTCTTTCCTAATAGGATATGGTCACAACAGTATTAGGTACTTCCTAATGAGATCCAAAATACCCTGAGAGGGAGCTGCCTATGCAGCCACATATAGCTAGCTGATTGGAAAAACCAAGGACAGGGTTGTATATTAAATCCTATCCTTTTCTGAGGCAGCTCCTTCATGCCTATAAAGAGGTGTCTCAGCCTAGTTGCGATCTGCAGCCCAGAAACTCCTCCTGAAGGTGGGCACCTACATCTAATTTCTTTCAAAGAGCTGATGACTCTTTACAGGGCTTTTCTTTTTAAATAGGACTAGAGGAGGAGTAGGTGTTGGTTCCCTAGGCTTCCCTAATACTTGGGTAGTTAGACCACTTGCCCAGAAAGTAGAAGACTATATTTAATTCTCTCCCTTCTGATGATTCAGATCTGTTTCCCAACTACCTGTTAAAGTGAAGCCAGTGTGTAGAAAAGAATTCAAGATTTACTGGGCCAGAAACAGATAGTAAAAAGGGGCATGGCTGTAGCTAGTGGTTACCAGAACCCAGGGCTTTCTTCACTAGTGTTCCTGTAGTTTATAGTAACAGTCCTTAGAGCAATGACAGGAATGGAAGATTCTTTCTACTTGGATAGCAGCTCTAAACCCTAAACTATTTTATGATAGGAACACCACACACTGCTTCATCCTTATTCTTTCTCACCTGCATTTTAAAAAGCAGTGGGCACTGCAACTGTATTTTGTGAAAAGCCCACTCTTTTAATTGTGTGTGATATACAGTGAGAATAGCTACTGGACTGAGTCCTTCAAACAGATGAAGTGGAGAGACATCTAGTTAGTAAGTGGGCTTAGGTATGAGCTAGATGCTGAGTTGGTCAGCCTATCAAAACAGAAGTACTTTTGGACATATAGGGCATGTCTACACATCATCGTACAGTGACGTTGATATGGTGCTGTGCTTTCATACTTCTTTTTGGAAGTATTAAAGCATAGTGCAGTACAGGTGGTTATTGCACCGTGCATGTGGTGCATGGTTAGATTTCACTGCTACAGTGGCATACCTGACAATCACATGTAGACACATGTGATTGCTATATCACCGTAGCGCACCACGTAGTGATGCAGCACATTGTTATGTCACCATAGGGTGATGTATAGATGCACCCATATAGAGGCAAAACTGTGGACATCTAGGGACCTGTAAGTCAAACACTGAGGGGCCTCTAGCATTTAGCTGCTTCAGGAATTAGGAAGCAGCTAAGTGTGAATTTTCAGAATTGCAATTTTGGATTGATTAATTAATTCATTTATTTAATGTTTATGTGCAGGAGAAATATGAACTGGGAGCTTTATACTCAGACAGTGGGAGACTAAGATCATCTAGGAATGGAGAGGGCATCCAACCAGTGGGAAACAAGGCTGGTAGGACATGTCTTTGGGTGGGATGTAACTGGACACAATTGTATTTCAGCCTGGCAACTAAGTTTAGTCCTTGAGTTATCAGGTGTAAGGTAAATTCTTCAAATACTACCAATATCTATTCATTGTAGTTTGAGAGTGAGAGGCATTTTATGAGAAGCTGTAGGTATATTCTGAAGGTGTGAACAGATGGATAAATTATATCATGTTAAAAGGGAAGGAGAGGGCAAGTGGAATTTACCATGTATCAACAGATCCATGAAAACTGTTTGGTGTGACCACCCAGTAAGTGAAAGCTGTATCAGGGCAAGTTAGCTTTGAATGGAACAGAGCTATGTTACTGCTGTTTTAGCTCCTATTTACCATAGAATACATGGACAAACACAAAAAGGTCCTTGCAGAACAGCTGATATGCTGATATGCAGTAAGTCCCCTTCTTCCTTAACTCAGGATAATTTCCTCATTTGTCCATACCCTGAGCATATGTATGGGATTACTGAGAATCTTATTCAGAGGAATGTCTCATTTTTGGGTGTGCAACAGGTGCCAAACCACTCAGCCATTTCCCAAAATATAACATTTTGCCTGGTGCAGAAGCATTAAATATTACCTTTGAATCTGTATGGATCTGATTGCACACATTCCTTACGTGTGCAAGATCTTTTGCCTAGCAGTGTCTGCTGAGCAGTAGGGGTGTGCGAAGCAGGCCCTATTTGTTTTGGATTTGGCCCGAATCAGAGATAGAGATTTAATTAATTGATTCAGATCGCTGTCCCTGATTCGATTTGGCTGAATCTGAATCTGAAGATTCAAAGCTGGTTCGGAGAATCAGCGATTCAGACATAGACACAGTTTTAAATGTTTTTTCTACATACCTTGAGGTAGCAGGCGCAGCTCGTGAACACTGCAATGCTGGGGGTCATGGAGCATCCCACAGAAGTGCAGGGGGGGCCCTCTACATGCTTGGCAGAAAACCTAGAAGTGGACTGGAAGTACTTCTGGGTCTGCCGGGGGAGCATGCTGGGCAGCTCCTCTGTGCCCCCTCGGTTCAGCGATTGGCTGCAGGGGGGCCCCAGGTGCCTCCCTAGATCCAGGAGGCACCAGTCACCGAGCCAGGGAGGGCACAGGGGTGCCCCCAGCATGCTCCCCGGTGGACCCGGAAGTGGATCTGAAATGCTTCTGGTCCACTTCTGGGTCTGCTGCCAATCGCACTGGGAAGCCCCCCGTGCTTCTGTGGGACACTCCATACACCCCAGCATCACAGCATTCACAAGCCCCTGCTACCTAGAGGTATGTAGAAAAAACATTTAAAGCTGCCTCAGAATCCAACTAGATCTAGATCTAGGTTACAGAGGTGGGAGGATGAGAATAGAATGGAATTCAGCGCAAACAAGTGCAAGGTACTGCATCTAGGGAGAAGGAACCTACAACATAGCTATAGGCTGGGGGACACCCTTCTCATCAACACAGTGGCTGAAAAGAATCTTGGAGTCATTGCTGACTCCAGGATGGACGTAAGCTGCCAATGTGAGGACACTGTCAGTAAGGCTAACTGCACCTTGTTGTGCATCTACAGATGCATCACAAGCAGGTCCAGGGAGGTGATCCTTCCCCTGTATGTGGCACTGGTCAGGCCGCAGTTGGAGTACTGCATCCAGTTCCGGGCGCTGCACTTCAAGAGAGATGTGGCTAACCTTGAGAGGGTCCAGAGGAGGGCCACTCGCATGGTCAGGAGGCAGCAGGCCAGGCCCTACAAAGATAGACTAAAGGGTCTGAATCTATTCAGCCTCCACAAGAGAAGACAGAGGGGATCTGGTGACCATCTATAAACTCACCAGGGGGGACCAGCAGAAAATAAGTGAGGCTCTGTTCCCCCAGGCACCACCTGGGATAACAAGGAATAACAGCCACAAATTGATTGCGAGTAGGTTCAGGCTTGATATCAGGAGGCATTACTTTACAGTTAGGACTGCCAGGCTCTGGAATGGGCTCCCAAGGGAGGTTGGAACGGGCTCCCCTACCTTGG